GCAATGAGACAGCCTGGCTCAAACCCTGTAATATTCATACATTAGTCAATGTGAATACTCAAACTTAGCAGGTGCACATAGAGGTTATTATCTTGACCAAATACCAAATTCTCAAAACTAGTTTACAAGAAAATGTGTAGTAGCGAGAGGGGAGAACTGACAATCTGATCTTGTGAGTTAAAGCATTAAGCTACGAGTAAAATTAATCCAAATTCAATTGACCATAGAAATCACCTTCATCTTCTCCAAATATTTCTGTCATTTGTCTGGTTGGAACTCTTGCTTGGGTTGTTAAAATGGCTTCCTTGGAACATTTTCTTCCTAATTGGTTTGACAATATTTTTAAACTCAACATGGATGAAAAAGGTAAAAAGTGAATATATAAACTGCTCAGAAAAAAAAAGACCTACTCTGAAGTGCTTTATGAAACTTTCTTATAATAGCATACCACAAATGTTTCTGTTCATTTAGATGTTGTTATGGTTAATTAAGTTTTAATTTTCTATTTATTGAATGTTGTAATTTTAAAAAAAAATATTTCCTTAAATTGAGGAGTATTTTTTTGTTCTTGAAGTGTAATTTATCAAAGGCAAATAATAGCAACAACAAAAAAAAATTATTTGATGTGGTTTTCTCTTCAAAGGAAGAAATCTGGACCTTCTACAAAAAGTTAAAACTTCTTATCACATTAAGTTTGTCATGTGTAACAGGATAAGAGCTGCCTTTTTAAAACTGTCCGTTGGGGAAATATGGCGCAAAATTCAATTTTTCGTTTTGTGTCCTGTTTATGCCATTCCGCCGCTGACATGCATTGTAGCTCTTCACCCGCCCTACCCCTCCCTAAGTAACAAGAGGTTATTTTGTTTGCCCACAAAAGTAAAGAAAATGTAGATGTTGTCATATAGTTAACTTAATTCAAATAACGCTCACTTGAGGCCCAAGCGTTCAACAAACCATTACTTGTCTGAGGTCAATGAGCATACCCACGCGCCTGAAGATTCTAGATTCCCGGTGAAGAAATTCAACGTACCTGATACTTCGTCTTCACTGTTGTACACGGGATGGACTGTAACAACCTCGGGTCTGCTTGAAGTCCTTAGGGAAAAAAAAAATTGATATCGAGTACAAGAGATAGAAAGTTTTCGGAATAGGTCAAAATCTGTAAAAATGGCGCGAACTGCAGTTTTTGCAAGTATCATAAGCTCACCATACGAAGCAGCCATGCAGAACTTTGAAGGAAAAATTTGTATGCACGGATCCACTGGCGACATACGGCAGCAGCACTCGTGGCGGAATGTTGAGCGTATTTTGCAAGTGTTCACCATCTCCGAGTGCAAATCCAAGAAGAAGAGAAATGACAAGAAAGCAACCCCCCACCGACGCCATCTTGAGTATCGAAGAAACCACGTGCGGCATAAGCGTCAGCGGACTTCAACTGTGAACTTCATGCAGTTAAACACCTTGTGTACCAAACAATGCTTCGCGACGTGGGATCGGGTAGCAGGGAGTGTTCTCATTGAGCGTTACAATTGAGTTGTTTTCCGCAAGGTAATCAGTTCATACAACTGAGTTACTACACGCGGTCTCATTAAACGAAACTTGTGTTTCGATGAAAGCATGTAAAGAAGGTTGTTACCTTCTAGATTCGGGCGTATTTTTGATACAATAAATATTTACAAAAACAACAAAAAATTTTTTCCTTGTTTACGTTGATAACAGTCGACCCACGGGAAGCTTAAATTTCCGCCGGCGTGACTGATTTTTATCGAGGTGAATTACTTCTGGGAAATTTTAGCTTACGGAGCTGGGACTGCTGTCAGGGGTCAATTTTTTAAGTTATATTTTAATTTACACAATGCCTTCATGACATAAAAAACAGTTTTTATGAAACGGAATGAAAACTCTATTAACGTGTCAATGTTTTTAGCTGTAGATTAGCTAATTGGGGACACCTAACGTAAGTAAATGATAACAACTAGTGTACAAATATTAATAAATAAATGCTAAATACTTGTTAACAACATAATAATAAATACTATGAAATAATACAAAATGATTGTGTTCACGATTTACATAGTTTGTAGTAGCTGCTATTGTTGTCAATGAGGTCTGAACGGCCAATTTTTCTTACTCTGGTCTTAAACATCGCGAGCGTTGGTGACTTCATTAATCGTTTTTGAAATATTTTTATTATTTTTATTGTAGATAGGTAGATAGGTAGACATTCGAGTTCCTTGGTTGAATGATGGAAACACCGCGTATAAATAAAGTTATTGTATCGTATCGCAGGAGAAAAAATGGTTTGCCTACGATAGCTACCATGAAGCAACAGATTAAGAAACTTGAAATCCCAACCAAACAAACCAATCAGCGCTGGAATTATATGTAATTTGTCATACTCGTTTCTCGCGCGCCACCTCAGCATTTAAACCGCTAACTGACTATGGCTAAGTATATCTGGGAAAATCAAGAAAGCGAATATCGACAAACTCAACGTAAATTAAAAAGTGGTGTCCCTGTCAAACGGAGGTTTTAGTTTAAAATGAATGGGCCATAAAAAATTTTAGAAGTCTACTGAGAACATATAACTGGCGAATGTGGACTTGGAGCGCTGTTACCTATAGGACGAGGACAAATAAGCTCATTAAGAACTACCAGTTTCCCTGGCAGACATCATCGCTGTTACCTATAGGACGACCGCAAATGAGCTCATTAAGAACTACCAATTTCCCTGGCAGACATCATCGTTCAAATG